TCTCCTACTTTACTGTGTTGATTCCCTTTATGTAGTAAAATGTTTCTATCATATCCCCCCATCTCGTCTTTCCTCCAAGCTATACATGTTAAGATCATTTAACCTTTTCTTGTAAGTTTTATCCTGCAATCCATGAACCAGTTTAGTAGCCCTTCTCTGAACCCTCTCTAAGGTATCAATATCCTTCTGGAGATAAGGTCTCCAGTACTGTGTACAATACTCCAAGTGAGGTCTCACCAGTGTTCTGTACAATGGCATGAGCACTTCCCTCTTTCTACTGCTAATACCTCTCCCTATACAACCAAGCATTCTGCTAGCATTTCCTGCTGCTCTATTACATTGTCTGCCTACCTTTAAGTCATCTGAAATAATTACTCCTAATTCCCTTTCCTCAGATGTTGAGGTTAATAGGGTATCAAATATTCTATACTCTGCCCTTGGGTTTTTACGCCCAAGATTCATTATCTTGCACTTATCCACATTAATTTACCTAAATCATTTGCCATTTGGCTTATCCCTCCTGGAACATCAACCCTATTACATATCTTAGTATCATCAGCAAAAAGACATACCTTACCACCAAGACCTTCTGCAATATCACTAATAAAAATATTTAAGAGAATAGGTCCAAGTACAGATCCCTGAGGTACCCCACTGGTAACTAGACCTTGCTTTGAATAAACTCCGTTGAGTACAACCCTTTGTTGCCTGTCACTCAGCCACTTCCTAATCCATTCAACAATATTAAAATCCAAACCTATAGATTGTAGTTTATTGATGAGCCTTCTATGCAGAACAGTGTCAAAAGCCTTACTAAAATCCAGGTACGCAATGTCTACTGTACCACCCTGATCTATGTTTTTTTTGTTTTGTTTTTTTTAAATTTTTTATTTTTGTTGTGCAGGTGGTTACAAGTTATCAACGGACGCCACAACAGCGTATTTCAAGGTTCATATCAGTTAGGCAGTGGCATGATAAGTCGCACATTTTTATATTTTCTAGGCATATCGATTAAACATCTAAAGTGATAGCGTAAGCTTAACTAGAATACAATGAAATAAAATAACACAGTAGTTGCTCGTCGATGCTAGGTTTGCTATACTAGCGTAGTTGCATGAGCCTGTTTTGCAGTTTAGTAGTAGCTGATTAAAACATGGTGTACATGGTAGTTATGCTGTGAGTGTATAGGCTTGGAGGCATTAAATAGCGGTTAACGGTGCTAAGATTTGCCATTGTTATAGAGTCACATCGTTAGTCTGGTTAGACAATTTGGTCAAGTTTAAACATGTTCTGACAATGCAAGAGTATATTAAAAGTTAATATTTTTTGGTACATGCTAAAGACTTAGAGGCTCAGATATGTGCGTTTATGTGTGTGCTTAGATATATCGATTGTAGAGCAGGTGAGGTGTACATAGATAGTACCAGGCAGGCAGGCTTGTCATCCTTAAATAAGCAGGTGACAGGCAATCTGAGTGCTTAGCTGATGTGTGTGTTAAGGCCTTATACAGTTATTGGAAGGCTATTATGAGAATGCTAAACAAAATGTAAATAGAGAGCATAGCTAAATAACAGAAATAAAGTAAACGACCAAGCAATGGATATTATGTTAGAATCCCTTGTTATTAGTGAGTCCCTGTTTAGGAGGCTACAGTATGTTTCATTTGCGTCCATTGTATCAGGAGTGTGTACACAGGCAACAAACAATTGTCTAATGACTCTTTATTACGTAGATTATTTCCAAAATCTAATAACGGTAGAATTGTAGAATCCCTGGTAAAATTCAAATTTATAGTTAAAACAAAGAACGTTACCTGCGCTCTGGCCTAAATTCCCTATGTACACTGAAACAAAATGGAGGCTCTTCAGTTTTATTCCAGTGGCCATTTAAATATAAGCTCACCTGCCACGTCAAGGCAAGCCTCAAAAGGTGTGTCCTACACTAGCCATTAGATTTGCTGATATCAGCCAAGAATCTCCAATGAGACAGGAAGGGGTATTTTATAAACCCCTACATACTTATTAGCCCTAAATAGAAACCTAAATAGAACCTACAAATCACCTTATCAGCTAAAAGGTAGTAGGGAGGAGTCGGGCACAAGAAAGGTAGTAGGGAGGAGTCGGGCAACTATAGGCCAGTAAGCCTTACTTCAGTAGTGGAGAAAGTAATGGAAACCATGTTAAAGGATAGGATTGTTGAACATCTAAAAACACATGGATTTCAAGATCAGAGACAACATGGGTTTACCTCAGGGAGATCATGCCAAACTTATCTTATTGATTTCTTTGATTGGGTAACTAAAATCATAGATCGGGGGGGCGGGGCCTGACCAGCAAACTGAACGGCTGCATGGTGGAGGAGCTCCCGCTACAAAAGCTGTTTATAGGGACAAGCTCACTGATGTAATGCCTAAAACGATACTTTGGTATGCTACCCAAGCTGGGGGCACCCTGGTGAATCTACCGATAACAGATTCGAGTCTGACCCGCATTCGTGGACCCAAAGTAGCAGGCCGCGGCCTGCAGTGGACGCAGACGGGGGAGACGGCTGCTCTCCTCGCCCCTACACCGGAGGTTCCCGAACCACTGCATACCCGCTCCTCCCCCCCCGCCGAGGACCGGTGGGGGTGATCCCGGTCCACCCCATCCAGGCAACAAGGCTACGGCAAGCACTGGCAGCGGAACCCCACAGGCAAGCCCTGGCTACACAGGCCTGCATGATGGCGGATGCCACGTGTGGCCAACACTGACATACTATAACAAAGCTGGAAGCCATATTCGACACCTTCTGGGCAAAGCTGGCAAACAGAGAGCGGCAGCTCAAAGCACCGGTTCACCCACCCAGCAAAAAACCCGCACATACCTGTCACAGCCGCGATGCCTCCTGCCCGACAGGAGCTAAAAGATGGCGCCGACGGCAGAGACCTTTCCCGCATAAACACAACCAGACAAGACCACGCCGCACATCGATGCCAGACCGAGGGGGCCTACTGGCTCCTGCCAGACCCTGCGTGAAACGTGAGATCCGCAACGCAACCAAAGGCAGGCAAGTCCCCCTCACAGCACCGAGCTCAGACACTGAAAAGGGGAGCCCCAGAGTCACAGTCAGAGACAATGTTTACCTGCAAGGTCAACGCAGGCTCCCAAAGCGGTAGGCGGAGGGGACAGCCACTGGAGCCTACACAGTCGCATCTTGCTATGCCCCAGCAGGACTTCCATGCATCCCTGTCACCCATCCCTACGAAAGGTATCGGTTGAAAGAGAACCTACATGCTGGGAAACGTAGAGGCCCAGGCCTGGAGCCTCTGATACAATGGACGCAAACGAAACATACTGTAGCCTCCTAAACAGGGACTCACTAATAACAAGGGATTCTAATGTAATATCCATTGCTTGGTCATTTACTTTATTTCTGTTATTTAGCTATGCTCTCTATTTACGTTTTGTTTAGCATTCTCATAATAGCCTTCCAATAACTGTATAAGGCCTTAACACACACATCAGCTAAGCACTCAGATTGCCTGTCACCTGCTAATTTAAGGATGACAAGCCTGCCCGCCTGCGGCAACAATTTTTTTTCTTTTTTTAAAAAGGACACATTTATTGTAATAAAAATAAAAATTGTTGCCGCATAATCCACTTATTAAACATAGAATTAAGAAAGCAATGTCAAAGAGATGACACATTTCTAGCAGGCAAACCAATATTACAGTACATATTTATTTAGAGACATGATAGTGTGTGTAATTAGTGTACACATGTTTTAATGCTAATTAAAATGTTTAAAAGTACATGCTGATTTATAAATAAACAATTGAAATGATTTACTTTTAGAAGTTTTCTAATGAACTCTGGACCAACGAGTTTAACAACCAGCAGTGTTGAAATTCTGAGATTATGGCACGTACAAATACTCTTTAAATAGGATTATCACAATGCTACAAGGAGCAGAAGTTGCGACACTCTAATTGCACATTACCAGCCGGCAGATATTAAATATCCCCATATAAACCTTGGTCTCAGAGGTCCAATCATCACCTAGTGATAGTGTTTTGGGAGTTGAATGAAAAAATACCTAGGGCACATTGGGATATGGTCCTCAAGTGGCACGCTCAAAAGAGACTCTGATAATTCAAAAACAAATCTGACCATGTCTTTCCTTTTGTTTGCTAATAGTTCCCTTGTATAACACCACCTCATGGATGATACGGATCTGTGTTTATTTTTGGTTAAATTCTGTTATCAGAAGTATGCATGTAGCACATATTTTATATTATATACAAGATTTATTTTACATAAGATTACAGAATTTTCTTGACAGAGGCCTTTTAAAAATGTATTTTAAAAGGACTCCCTAGGCACCATATCCACTTCAGTTTATTAAAGCCATATTGGTACCAATGACAAAGTCAGAGGAAAATGGAAGGTCCTAAAGAATGAGTTCAGGGAACTAGGAAGTAAGCTAAAGAAAAGGACCTCCAAGGTAATTTTTTCAGAAATATTACCTGTGCCGCGCGCTACAGCAGAAAGGCAGCGGGAGATTAGAGAGGTTTTTAGAGCACTGGGCCGATTTTGCGCTTGGGTACAACCTGTATAGTCATGATGGATTGCACCTATACGGAAGAGGGTCTGCTGTGCTGGGGGATAGGATGGCTAGAAGGTTGGAGGAGATTTTAAACTAGTGGTAGGGGGGGAGGGTCAAAGCAATCTAGAAAATGGAGATAGGATGGAAAGGAGATGGGCTTTAGCTCAGAACAAAGGGGGTGGAGATGGGGGGAGGGGAAAAGCTCAGAACAGAGGAGGTATGTAATATTGATAATTCACAAAAAGTACAAAAGACTCATGATAATATTAAATGTATGCTTACTAATGCAAGGAGCCTATATAACAAAATGGGGGAACTAGAGGCAATAGCATACACTAAACAATATGATATAATAGGCATAACAGAAACATGGTGGGATGAGACACATGACTGGGCAGTTAATTTAAATGGGTATACGTTATTTAGGAAGGATAGGAAAAACAAGAAGGGTGGTGGGGTATGTTTATATGTCAACCATGAGTTAAAGTCAAATCTTAGGCATGTGGAGTGTGACGAGGAAAAGGTGGAGGCTTTATGGGTAGATATCTGCTTGGGGCAAACAAAGGGAAATCAGTTATTGGTTGGGATATGTTATAAACCACCTAATGTAAATATTATTGAGGAAGAACAGCTGTTAGAGCAAATTGAGAAAACTGCAAATCAAGGTAACACGTTAATTATTGAAGATTTTAATTATCCAGACATAAATTGGGAAAGAGGGACTAGTACTTCAGCAAGGGGCAGCAGGTTTTTGAATGTGTTAAATGACACATTTATGTCACAACTGGTACAAGCACCAACTAGAAAGGATGCTTGTCTGGATCTTGTCATAACAAACAATGTTGATCTTTTAACCAACGTTCAAGTAAGGGAGCATTTGGGAAATAGCGATCACAATATGGTAAATTTTGAAATAAACTCAAAAAAGCAAAAGCAAGTGGGGTATACTAAAACATACAATTTTAAAAAAGCCAATTTCAATAAGGTTAGGGCAGCTCTTCAACATATCGACTGGCATAAACTCCTTAGTGATAAAAACACTGAGGATAAATGGAAACTATTCAAACAAATATTAAAAAGGTACATTTCTCAGTATGTACCATTGGGTAATAAATATAAAAGAAACTAATTAAAACCAATGTGGCTTAGTAGAGAAGTAAAACAAGAGATTAAAAATAAGAAAAGGGCATTTAAAGCATTTAAATCAGACAAATCAAAGGCATCCTATTTAAGATATAAGGAAGCCAATAACGCCTGCAAAAAGGCAATTAAAGTGGCTAAACTAGAAAATGAGAAATTGATAGCTAAAGAATGCAAAACCAACCCCAAATTTTTTTTCAAGTACATGAATTCTAAAAAAAACAAAAAATGAAAGTGTAGGTACACTTGAAACAGAGTTGGGTTTATTAGCTAATGACCAGGAAAAATTTTAAATAACTATTTTTCTTCAGTATATATTAATGAGGATCCTATGGCAAGAGATATGCAAAGGATTGCTGCAAAAAGCTTGCAAATAACTTGTGATTGGATAACTTGAGACAAGGTGCTACAGCTATTAAAGAAAATTAATGTAAATAAAGCTCTGGGGCCTGACGGTATTCACCCACGAGTACTTAAGGAGCTAAGTGGGGAAATAAGTGAACCTCTGTATTTAATTTTTCAAGATTCTTTTGTTTCAGGTGTTGTACCGGAGGATTGGAGGAAGGCAGATGTTGTTCCTATATTTAAAAAGTGTTCAAAATCCTTGCCTGGAAATTATAGACCTGTGAGCTTAACTTCTGTAACTGGGAAAATATTTGAAGGGCTATTAAGGGATAATATTCAGGAATTCATTGGGAAGAACTTTGTTATTAGCAATAATCAGCATGGTTTTATGAAACATTGGTCATGTCAAACTAACTTAATTGCATTCTACGAAGAGGTAAGTAGAACTATAGATCAGGGTGTTGTGATCTACTTGGATTTTGCCAAGGCATTTGATACGGTTCCTCACAATAGGTTAGTCTTCAAACTAAAAGAAATTGGTCTAGATGAATATTCTTGTTCTTGGGTAGAACATTGGCTTAAAGGACCACTCTAGGCACCCAGACACTTCAGCTTAATGAAGTGGTCTGGGTGCCAGGTCCAGCTAGGGTTAACCCATTTTTTCATAAACATAGCAGTTTCAGAGAAACTGCCATGTTTATGAATGGGTTAAGCCTTCCCCTATTTCCTCTAGTGGCTGTCTCATTGACAGCCACTAGAGGCGCTTGCGTGCTTCTCACTGTGATTTTCACAGTGAGAGCACGCCAGTGTCCATAGGAAAGCATTATGAATGCTTTCCTATGTGACCAGCTGAATGCGCGCTACAAGAGTTTCCACAAGCATGCGCATTCCAGGAATGACGGGGAGGAGAAGAGGAGGATCGAGGAGGGAGAGAGATTCCGCCCAGCCGCTTGGAAAAAAAAAGGTAAGTTTTACCCCTTTCCCTTCCAGAGTCACCGGGACCCTGGAGGGTATACTCAGCATTGAGCGCTGGTGGGAAACGAGTATGTTTTCCTGGCACTATAGTGGTCCTTTAACCCCTTAAGGACCAAAACTCTGAATAAAGGGAATCATGACATGTCACACATGTCATGTGTCCTTAAGGGGTTATGATAGAGTACAACGAGTTGTAATTAATGGTAAATTTTCAGGCTGACAAAAGTGGTAAGTGGTGTCCCTCAGGGTTCTGTTTTGGGACCACTTCTATTTAACATATTTATAAATGATCTTGAAATAGGCATTAAAAGCCATGTATCAGTGTTTGCAGATGAGACAAAACTTTGTAAAGTAATAAAATGTGAGCAGGATATTGCTTTGCTGCAGAGAGATTTGGATAGATTGGGGGACTGGGCACTAAAATGGCAGATGAAATTTAACATAGAGAAATGCAAAGTTATGCACTTCAGGGTTAAGAATGCACAAGCAACTTACACACTAAATGGTAGTGAATTATGGATAACCACACACGAGAAGGATTTGGGAATTGTTATAGACAACAAATTAAGCAGCAATATGCAATGTCAATCTGCAATTGCTAAGGCCAGTAAGATTTTGTCATGTATAAATAGGGGCATAAATTCTCGGGATGAAAATATAATTCTGCCTCTTTATAAATCGCTGGTAAGACCACACCTTGAATATGCTGTGCAATTTTGGGCGCCTGTTCTAAAGAAGGATATCATAGCACTGGAGAGGGTCCAGAGACGAGCTACAAAATTGATAAAAGGAATGGAGCATTTTAGTTATGAAGAAAGGTTAAAAAAATTAAATCTGTTTAGTTTGGAAAAACGGTGCCTGAGAGGGGATATGATAACTTTAAACGAATATATTCGGGGCCAGTACAAACCTTTATCTGGAAATCTAATCATAAACAGGGCTATACATAGGACACAAGGTCACACCTTTAGGCTGGAAGAAAGGAGATTTCATCTAAGGCAAAGAAAAGGTTTTTTTACAGTAAGAACAATAAGGATATGGAATTCTCTGCCTGAAGTGGTGGTTTTGTCAGAGTCCATACAGATGTTTAAACTGAAATTGGATAAATACTTACAAAAACATAACATACAGGGATATAATTTCTAATTAGTGGGGTAATAGCTGCTTGATCCAAGGAGACATCTGACTGCTATTTTGAGGTCAAGAAGGAATTGTTTCCTGGTTTGTGGCAAAATTGGAAGCGCTTCAGACCAGGTTTTTTGCCTTCTTTTGGATCAACAGCAACAACATTTGTGAGGAAGGCTGAACTTGATGGACGCGAGTCTCTTTTCAGCTATGTAACTATGTAAAGCAGTAATGGTGTGAGGGTAATGCCTCTGCTTTTTGTTAATTTAATTTTTTTGCCATTTTGATAAAACAGGGTTTTAAAGCAGAGCCAATAGCTTCACCTACAAGGCCTACCAGACATAGAGCTGTGTTTATACACCCCAAATCCCCTACATACATAGCAATGAGTAACTTTTAGGCACAACCCCACAAGATGAAAGACTTGCAAGTCCAAAGAGTGACCTCTGGTGATTGGTGATGAAAGCGACCTCCTGTGCCAATAATTGCATTACATGTGTTTTTCTGAAACGCAGCAGTTAGAATTAAAATACAAATGAAACTAGGCTAATTACCAGAAAATAATAAATTTAGTTCTCTAATAATTATACTCTGAGCAGTTCACAAAGGAAACAAACCAAAATTTAAAAAAAAACAAAGGCAACAGAGAACAGACTAAACATTTTGCCCTTTAGTTAGCCATTAACAAATCACCTGCCTTCAGGAGATTATAAGATGGGTTACTGATTGTCTTGGTGAAGCATCTCTGGAGCAAAATACCAAGATCAGTAAGAAACAAGGAACACCAAAGCATGTCTTCCGAAAAACCCTACGAAATGGCTCTTACCCAAGATGATAACTGAGGACTTCGCATCCCTAGTCAATCATTATTATTTGTACCTTATTATTGCTCTAACACAAATTTATATTTTTCCATCACGGCTTCCCTTTACCTTGCTTTTCAAAGCTTTTCCTTGAATATAGAAAGAGGCAGCACTTAGTGATAAAGGGTTTCTCCAACCACCGTGACCTCTTCTGCTTTTTTAAATGGTCATGGTGGTAGGAGTTTGGATATTCAGTGTTTCTGCTTGAAACATTGCACATCCAGAGGTATTTGAACATGTGACTTAGGCAACACAGAACTCTGTTCCAGGCTGCCTAATGTCAGTTTTTAGCATAAAACAAGTCACAAGTCTGTTGTCAGTGCGCATTGCACCCTGCGGACAGATGTAACCTCTCAGGTTCTTGTTGCACCTCCCTCCCACACTCTCTATCTCCCTCTCTATGGCCCCTGCCTCCCTCCTCGTCCTCCTTTCACTCCCTCTCTCAGTGGCGGAACTACAGCCAGTACAGCCACTGCAACTGCACCAGGGCCTGCACACTGAGGGGGTCCATCAGGTAGCCCATGCAGTTAGTGCCACCCAAGAGCAATGCGGCCTGGTCAGTGCTGCGCACATTAACAGCGTGAATGGCCCCTTTGATGATGGCAGCACTGGGAGGAAGTGACAGCCAGTCATTGCCTCCCAGCTAACACAGAGCCATGTGTGGGAAGCAGAGAGGAGAGGGTGCAGAGAGCTTCTGACTCACAACAGTCTCAGCCAGCTAAATGGACCCCAGGGAAGCCACTCTGCTACACCCAAAAGGTAGGAAACACGAAGTAAAAATGATTTACATTTACATGTCTGTTTGTGTTTGTCTGTATGTGTGTCTGTGTATCTGCATGGGTGTCTGTGTGTGTCCTTGGGCATCTATGTGTCTGTATAATCTGTATGTGTGTCAGTGTTTGTGTCAATATGAGTGTAATTCTGTGTGTCGAATGTGTATCTGTGTATCTATGCGTTGGTGTAGCTGCATGTGTGTGCCCCTGTGTGTCTGTATGTATGTCCGTGTTTTTATCTGTATGAGTGTCATTGTGTGTGTCTGTATGTGTGTCTATGTATCTGTGCGTTGGTGTATCTGCATGTGTGTCTGTGTGTGCCCCTATGTGTCTATATGTATATCTGTGTTTTGATCTGCATAAGTGTCATTGTGTCTATCTGTAGCTTGTATGATTTACTTTGATTTGGTTATTTAAAGTGTGAATAAC